TTGGTGTCTGGGTCCAGCCATTAAGTCAGAGAGTGTTCTTTGGGTGGAACCTGGTGGTTGGAGGCACTTAAGGAGGCACTTAAGATTTCATCTATGGTTTCCTGTTTTTCAGAGGTAGTTTTAGATAGTAACTTTTAGGTTACTCTTTGTAGTGGCATATTTTCCCCAAAAGTTTTGAGGAGCTAAGGTGGGAGGAGTAAGGAGAGGAAGAGGAAGAGTAAGGAGAGGAAAAGGAGAAGGAGGAGGAGGAGCTAGGAAGGAGAAGACAAGAGAGAGGGGGGAGGGGGAGGGGAGAGGGAGTGGGGGATGGAGAAGGAGAGGGAGGGGAACATGGCTTCGGATGTTCGATTGTCTCTAGCAGTCAAAGGTAGTTGATATATCTAGGTTGGGTATTGGGTTACACCTCTAATTGTGTGGGCATCTAGTTATTGAGCATTACCAAACATATAAAGCCTTTGATTAATCTTTAAGCATCAAAGTCTCCTTTTCTACCGGGTACCATGTGGATGGCAGGATGGTCTGAGCTCAGCCCAGCCTTGTGGAAACAGCATGAAAGATTGACAGAGCCATCTCCCGCCCTGGTGTCTCGTGGGTGCCAGGCCCTGTGTTTCTGGCTGGCCGTTCCTAGTTGCAGTGTGTACATGGCCTCTGGCTGTGGAACATGGCGGCAGAGCTAAGCAGAGTCACTGCCGCTTAGATAGTTGGCCCAAGAAAATGCAATTTTAAATATTAACAGCAACAACTCTTTGTTAGGATTCGAGCGCAGTTTGGACAGACAACACCAAAGCCGATCCGATCCGGTTCCAAGGGAAGGGGTTTATTTGGGGAAGGGAGTGGGAGAGAGGAACGGGAAGATGGCGAGTGAAGAGAAGACGAAGAGAGAGAGAGGTTGGGGGTGGTCCCAACTATTTAAGTGGGTGATGACGTGTGTAATTTCCCAGGTGTAGGTGAGTCAGGTAGGTGAATTCTGGGAGTGGTTGTCCCAGCAACGTAGGAGTCGCAGGCCCCTGAATATGACGTCACCGGGTTCAGACTTATACTAACACTCTTGATATTATTAGAAATGCAGAGATTCACTTAAAGACATCAGGAAGCTGGATTGTGCCTTTCCTCCTTTCAGTTTTATTTAGCTTATTGTATTCATCTCCTCTGCTTGAGACGTTTCCATCAGAAGCGATGCCCACTTTCTAGGCCTCAGCATCTGTGGTAGTTGCTTCTCTTGAACTCTTCTCAGAGTTGACTGCCTCTGAAAATTCTTTTTTCTTGGTACTCTCCGTATGTGAGTTGCCTCTCTTGGGTCATCTCTACTACTGCAGACCTCCGTAGATTCTTGTTTGTAGTTCAACATTGGTGTTCTGCTAGATTCTTTCCATCTGATTGTCATTTTCTGGATGATTTTTCCTGTGGTTTCTAACATCTTCATGGTGATAATTCTAAAATTTTCATCCAGCGGTAAGTGAGATGGCTGTGTGGATTAAAGGTGCTTGCCACCAAATTTAACTGTAATTCCCAAAATTAACCTGTAAACACCTCCTGCCCCAGGAATTAGGTAACTTTCTGTGGCATGTCAGGAGTTGTAGTTCTGGGAAAAGAACCCCTCATTGGAAAGTATGGTGGGCAATAGTTTTTATATGGGGCCATTTTCAGCTGGGAAATTCCTGGGAATGGTCCTGACCAAAGTCCATCTTTTGGGTCAGTATTCAATATTTAATAAAGCTTGCTTCAAATTTGATGCAAATGATGCAATTGGCTTTCTCCGGTGAGCCGTGGGATTAACAGTGACAACTTGAAATAGTTTCTTAAGCTCTATGTGGCGGGGGTTCAAGGTGGTCAGTGTGAAAAGGAGGGGAGGGTTCAGTGCCAATAATCTGCTGAGGTGAAGCTTTACTGTTGAGGATCAAGGTTGTCAGGCTGAAACTGGACCCAGAGAAGATAAAGCATACTATCTCCTCCGTTCAGAACTTCCTCATCTATGTGGCCATGCTGGCCTCACTCTCACCCAAACCATCAGTCAGTATTTTTAGTAAATATACTAAAGGGGAAAAAAGCCCTAAGTAGTGGAAGAAGAGACTCAGTTTCTACAAGCTGTTTTCTGACCTCTATAAACATGCTAGTGGCATGCACCATGTACCCAGACCCATACACAAACAAAATAAATGAGCAAATAGTGTTAAAAAAAATAAATTACCATCCAATGCCTATGTTTAATTGCTTTCTGGTCATTATCCAGACTAGCTTGTTCTAAATTATAAGTGAAGCTAAAATAATTTTTGACACATTTTGTAATCTCTCTCATGTCCTGATTCTGTCTATATCTGTGTTTGTGTGTATTGCTGGGCATTTGTGTGTATATATGTATGTGTATATGTCTGTGCATTTGTGTGTGTAGGCTAGAGGTTGACTTTGTCAGGTATCTTCCTCAATCACTCTCCACCTTCTGGTTTGAGACAGAATCTCTCACTGGATCTGAAGCTTGCCCATTAGGCTAAACTGGCTGGCCAGAGAGTAGTAGACAGCCTCCTATCCGCGTCTCCCCAGGGCTGGGTTTATTGGCGCAGACCACCATGCCTGGCTTTTTCACATGCATGTTAAAGATTGAACTCAGGTACTCGTGCTTGCTCAGCAAGTGCATTACTGACTACACCATCCTCCTAAACCACATCCTGGTTCTTAAGGTCATTTAAATCCATTTCCGTTACCACAGTCACATCATACTCTTCCCTGTTCACTAGAGTCCACTCTGGTGTGCTCATTCTTAATGGTTACCTAATATCCTGGGGGATACTTCTAGACCGGGACAAGTCAGCAAACACTGGACCTGTCTTATTTCAGCCTTCTTAAGAGTCTGTCAAACCTTGCCAAACCTGACTATATTTTAAGTCCTCACTAGGGATACTGGGAAAAGTTTTCAGTTAGCAATAGTCGCACCTGAGATTAGCCTCATTGGCTCCAATTCTTCCATTGTAGTGTTAAATAAAGCTGACACTCTAAGTGCTGAGGCACAAAGGTGACCAAAACCATCTGAGTTTAGTTAGACTCCAACCTAGTGGACTGAGGAGGAGACAAGACAACAGGAAGCTCTGATGGGGTAGCGTCAGTGTGAGCAGTTAGCATGACTCTCAGTAGAGGATTATGCAATTTGAAGACACTGTCTTTACCCTCTAAGCTCACAGAATCCACTTGGAATAGGGAAGCCCTTAATTATATTTGGTTCAAAAATGTTTTGCATTTTGCATTAATGTTTTGAAAGCTTTTGTTTCTCTTTTAAGACAGAGTCTTAAAGGAGAGACTTTTATCTCTGGCTGGCCTGGAACTTAGATCTGCCTGCCTCTCTACTTCCTTGAGTGTTGAGAGTTAATGTATGTACCACCCCATTTGATTCTCATTTGAAGTCAAGTTCTCTAGCTGAGGCTAGCTTGCAACACTACACCCAACAAAAACTGCTCATTTTCTTGAATCTCTTACCTACCTCTTGAAGGTAAGATTTTGAAGCAAAACACTAAAGCAATGGTGGTAGTGAAAATATAGTAACAGGCTGTTGCTCCATGTCCCTACCACAGAGGCAGACAGGAAGAATCACTTCCTCTTCATAACAACTGCCATCCCAGATGGTCTCATGTGTGAACAGAGGTGCATGGATGCCATGGTGAATGTATGGAGCCCAGAGGACAACTTTTACTTCTTTCTTATGTGTATACCTGCTTATCCGTATGTGTATTATAAGCACAAGTGCCCTTTTGAGGCCAGAAGCAGTTGTTGGATTCTCTGAAACTGGAGTTAGAGGTGGTTGCTAGCTGCTTGGTATTGGTACTGGGAACCAAACCCAGGTCTGTGCAGGAGCAGCAAGTGATTTTCGTTGTTGAGCCATCTCTATAGCCCTGAAAGGACATCTTTTGGGAGTTGGTTCTCACTTTCTACCAAGGCAGGAATCCAATTCTGGTGGTCAGTCTTGCACAGAAAGCACTTTCACCCTGAGCCATCCTGCCAGGCCCTATCCTAGTTCAGTGATATTTACCCATCTTGCCTTCATGCCTCTAAAACCAACCAGCCATAGCATTTTCAGAAAGATGTTAACCAGTTTCCTGATACTGGTTACTTCCATTTCTGATCAAGTTAAGCTTGTTTTAATCATGTGGGCCCAACCTTCCTTTCACTCTATTTTTTGCTTGGCTTGTGTGTGCAATGCAGAAAAAGCCTGGTCACAACAGGCCTTATATTTCTCCTAACTACGGCAGTATAAACATTTTCCCTACCACCTCAGTGGTTCTCATCCTTCTTAATGCTGTGACCTTAAATACAGTTCCCCAACCATAAAATTATTTTCATTGCTACTGCATAGCTAATTTTGCTGTTATGAATTGTAAATATCTAATATACAACCCCTGTGAAAGGGTTGTTTAACCCCAAAGGGGTCACCACCCACTGAGAACCACTGCACCATTAAAATCCTTCCCTTTTGGCTCAGTCCAGCTTAGGAAGAATCAGGAATCACAAACGGCCAGACGTTCTGAGTAACAGTGGCCATGTGCTCCCTCCCACCTGAGGTATGGAGATCACTGTCTTTGTATCATGAAGTCACAGCGTAAGCAAAAAGAAACTACCCGCTGAGCTCTTGGCACAGTCACCTTTACAGTCTGCTAACCCTTGTTGAACAAAGTTGTTTAATCAATAGCTAGGTGTTGACAGAGGCGGGGGGTTTGGGGACCCCATCCCTCAGAACTAGTTGATGATGGATTCAGAAAAGGGGGAGGAGTCGATGTTTTCAGTTGTGTACCTGCCAGTTGAATCCTGCCAGGCTCTGGTAAATGTTACAAACTCACAGTCACAGACAGGCATATTTAACTAAATGTGTAGTACAGCAAAACCAAACTGAGAGACTGATCTGGATGGAGGTAGGATACATAGGGATGGGAAAGTTAAGAATGGTGTATGCATAGTAACCCAAATGCATTAGATACACCTACAAAACTGTCAACTAAAAAAGAATAAGTCCACACACATTATTTATGCAAAAATTTATTTGACCAATTGTAGAAAAAGTGATACTATTACGCATGATACAATTGCAAGAACCTACAGAACAGAGTAGGCTTTCTCAATTGCACAGTTTGCTCGAAGCTCATCTCCCTGGTAGTGTGATGCTTAATAAATAGGCGTGAGGGGCAGGGTTAAGACGGGCTAGAAGCAGGGTGACTCTCACTCAGGACTGTAAACTTGAGTTGGCCCCGCATTGCTGCGGAATGTGGAATGTTTCGGTGTGAGATGTTAACTGAGAAAGCAAAAGCAGAAAACCAAAAAAAATGTGCAGCCTACAGAGCACCCCACATCCAGTTCACTCAGGAGTTCTTGGTCTTTTATTAGTGTCATTCCCTAAGGAATTCAAGTCTTGGCAAAGTCAAGCTTCCATTGTTGTTCCCTGAACAACGGAGATGAAGTTAAGCCAATTTCTTTTTCTATCACTACTTTGCTGCTCGAGAGACCTGTTGTTGACCAGCACTTGGTATTAGAACAATGCTCAATGTATTGATGGCTAGCGACCTTTTTGTTATTTGAGTATTATTTATTTCAGTGTGAAATTCCCTGCCTATTTTAGGAATAAATGCAATTTAAGAATAAGAATAACCAAAGAAGCTGGTGCCACTTGACTGGAAAAGGAAAGAATTAACTGGTGCTCAAAGCTTGTCTAACACAAAATATTCGGTCATGAATTCATTATCTGCTTGGCATTTCCAGCAAGGTGGAGACGTGATAATAAGCAGAACTTCTTACAGGAAAGGAAGACAGGGCGCACTCTCTGGAGTGGAGCTGGTGTCAAAACGGGACTCTTCTGGTTTAGTTTATATACAGTTAAGTTCGTTTAGTGTCTGGTCCAGTGTCTGATGTAAGCCCACATTTTCTTCTTTGGCCTGGGCAAGTTTTTCTGGTAAAGATTAAGAGAGGGAGGAAAAATGAATTAATAGGCATCTTTGTTAAGGGAAGGGAAAGGTGTGACAGTGAAAGCCACAGCTAAGAATCACACAGAATACCGTGGAGTAATAGGGATCAAAGAGCAAACAAGATAGTATGAGCTATTAGGCTGGGAGTGCTGCTGCATTATTTGAATTCCAGCACTCAGGAGGCAGGTGACCAGTCTGGTCTACCCAGCAAGTTCCTGGTTGACCTAGCACGTTCCAGGCTAGCCAGAGCTGTGATCTCACCAGATCATGTCTCAAAAACAAAACCAAAACAAGTGTCCAGAAACAGCCTGGCTTTGTGGTGCACACTTGACACCCCAGCACCTGGAAGGAGGCAGGAGGATCAGGAGGCAGAGGTCATCCTGGGCTATGATCAATTCAAGGTCAACCTGGGCTGTATATGACCTTGTCTCAATACCACTCCCAACCCAAAGAAAAATCCTGGGTCTGGTTTCTCATCAAGAAAAGGCACTTGCTGCCAGGCCTGATAATCAGTTTAATCCCTGGGACTTGCATAATAGGAACAAAACAGACTCCTACAACCTGTTTTCTGACCTCCACATATGAACCACGGCACATGCGCACCTCCCCTCCCCGACAAGCATAAACTACAAATAAGATTTTAACATCTCAAATGCCGCATAAAATGCACTATGCAAAAATAAACTTTTCTGCCTTGATGAAACTCAACTTACTGTCCTGTGTTTTCCTTTTCCAAATAAATCCAGCCATCCGTGAGCCAGAACACTTGGACCGAAGCCCTAAGGTGTATCACTAGAGTGAGCCATTTAAGCTTTCTAGGTCTAAGTCTGCCATCTGTGAGGTGGGGAGAACACCATCAGTGTGTGTGATTGATAGATGCCTTATGAGAACAGAGACATGTGCCAGAATTCAGGAGGTGCTGTACACATAAAAGACTTCGCTACTAGATACAGATGACTTAGAACATCTGTTAGGAAAATGTAAAGTCCTGTAACCTGTTTTTCCTTTGGAGCACCTGGGAGTGGCTATTGTAATTCCAGGCATACAGAATTCATTGTCAGGGTGCCCTGGCAACTGAGTCAAATCTCAGGTAAATAACATAAGACTGCAAGAAAACTATTCAATAACTGACAAAGTAAAATTTGAAAAAAAAAAAAAAAAAAAAAAAAAAAGGGCAGTTGTGAGATGGCCCATCAGGTCAAGGTTCCTGCTGCCAAGCCTGAAGACCTGAGCTGACTCCCCAGGACCCTTGTGGTAGAAGGAGAAACTTGATCCCTGTTGTCCTACCCCCAACTTCTGTGCACTGTCACATGTGTGCTCTACACTACCAAATAAGTAAATAAACACAATAATTTTAAAAAGCCATCGAGAGCTCTGCATGACCAAGCATGAGGGAAAACTGGTTTGTGTGAGTGACAGCTAATAAAAGACTAGGCCAGGAGTCATTAAAATTCTGGAAGAAAGCAAAAGGCCTCCTAAACTGATGAGCTCGACCTGGAAATTTTCAGGAAGAAAAACACCTTAGACTGTGGAAGATGGCAGTTTCTCTGTAGCCACAGAAGCCTTCTTGGGACAAACTACTGGGACCTGGCTGTGTGAAGACTTGTTAACAAGATGCTCTTGTGAGCCAGCTGCTCCGTGTTCTCAGGCCGCTCTCCTGGGAACCCGGGCTGCACTTGTGTTTTATGCTCAGTGCTGCACAGTTCCAGTAGTGGAGGTGGGATGCCGCCCAGGCCTTCCACCAATGCTGGCCTCTCTAGTATGTTTTGTTAACTAAGTCTGAGACGAAAGAGCCTCACCCCCAAACCCCAAAGTAGCCCTATCCTTGAGCCTCTCAGCACAGCTCAGACAGACAACAGCAGGGAGCTGAACTCTTGGAGGGATCCAGTTGACTGATTAGACAGACAGGAAGAGATGGTTACTTCAAAGGGTGGAGGCTATTCGTGTCTGGAAATTTCTGAGGGAAATACTGAGCAACCCTCCCCTCCCCCCAGCAAGGCCAGTGATGTCCCAGGGCACATGCAAAACAAGGTATATAGGGCAGGGTTTACAAAATGCCCACCACTGTCACTCCCAGCATTTCTCCATAGCAACACCCTCTGTAGACCAGGCTGTTCTTGAACTCAGATCCACCTGCCCCTGCCTCCCAAGTCTTGGGATTAAAGGCGTGTACAAACACTGCCCAGCTTACAAAATGGCCACGGTCAAAGGCACCCGATTCCAGCTCAAAAATGAGGTGGCAAGGACAGAAGATGAAGATGGCCTGTTGTCATTATAGGTCATTATAGTCAGAGTCAGACACATGGGGAAAAGGCTAAAGTTTACACCAGAAGGTGGGTTCCCTGGAGCTCCTAGGCACCAGAGCCAGTTCACCTGGAGATGGTTAAGACCCAAGGTGACACCCATTGCCCTCAGAGAGAGCTCAAGTCACTGAGGGATGGTTTCACATCCTTGCTGATAGCTATTTACCTGAGCTTTTGGGCACTGTAGGGTGGTGTCCCCAGGAAGGGGGTTGAAGAAATAGGATGGAGGGTTGAGATGGAAGAGCATAGACAAACAGGAGAATAGTGAGAAAACAGTGTGAACCAAGAGAAAGTTAAGTCCCATGTAAAACAGGTCTGAGCTACTGAACAGGAGCAGCCTAGATGAGCCCTTGAAATAATGGTGAGCTGGGTGTGGTGGCGCACACCTTTAATCCCGGCGTTTGGGAGGCAGAGGCAAGGCTAGCCTGGTTTACACTGTAAGACCCTATCTCAAGATAAATAACCCCCACTACCATCACCCCTGGGCCCAAGATGACTTCTGATGGCTTAATCACCCTGCCATAGGTCACCCTTTGGAGTGGAACATTTTCCCTTATATGGATAAAGATGTGAAGAATGAGTCTCCCTTCCTGGATGAAATGGCCTGGAGGATTCCAACCCCAAGCGTCTGGAATTTCATGCTCTATCATGAAGAATAACATAGTCACTTCAAGAAATGCTGAGTTGTGTTCCCTGGGGAACTGAGGCCCTGCTGCCTGTTTTTTTCTCTTTCCTCACACTAAGATAAGCCTTGCCTCTGGGAGAGAGGCCAGCAAGAACTGGTGGCATTTAAAATATGCAAGGCATCTCTGAGAATTCCGAAGACCTCACTCTGGAAACAAAGCCTAGCTCTGTCCCTCCCCAGACCTCCTCACTCAGCTTTCATCTGTCACTCCGGGAAGTGGAGATTCCTACCTTCAAGGTCATCAATTGTCTTCTCTAGTTTAGAAACTGTCCTTTCTGCAAACTCAGCTCGAGTCTCCGCCTAGGGAAGAAAAAGAGTCACTACCCTGCTTCAGATTAGCCCCTCAAAATGTAGGGCATAGCTGGGTGTGGTCACTCACCTCCTTCAGCTTGTCAGACAGAAGCTTGATTTCTTCTTCATATTTATCCTCCTTTTCAGAGTACTATGGGAAAAAAAAAACAAAGGCGGTTCTTAAAAGAGGGAAAGAGGCTGGAGAGATGCCTCAGAGGTTAAGGGCTTTTGTTGCTTTTACCGAGGGCTGGGGTTCAGGACTCAGTACCTACATGGAGGCTCACAACCATTTGTAAGTTCAGTGCCAGGAGATCTGACACCCTGCCCTGAAGTGCAGACATACATGCTGGCAAAACACTTACATATATGAAATAAATACTTCAGGAAAGGAAGAAGGAGCTGGGGAGATGATTCAGTGAGTGAAGCATTTGCCTGGCAGCGAGGACCCCAGCATCCACATAAAAGCTGGATGGGTGTGGCTCCCTCTGTGGAGATAAGATTCTTGGAACAAGCTGGCTAACTAGACTAGCCAAATAGATGCGCTTCAGGTGAGAGACTCAGCCTCAATACGACACCCATGAAGCAAGGCCTGCATGCCAATACCCCGGCTCATGCCAGGTCATCTGGACTGAGAACAGAACAAAATATAGCAAGTTTCCCTCCGTCCCACCTTTTCAGAAGCAGCCTCCAGTGATTTCAGATTGTTAGTTACATTCTTGAGCTCTTCTTCCAGGTCACCACACTTTCTGCACCAAAACAAAAGATTTGCTGTAATGTAGGCAATTCCCTTCCAGCAAGTCCACTGTCCATCCCCCATCCCCCACTGCTGGAAACTTATACTCTCTCCTGCTGGGCACAGGCAGAAGCAGGGCAGGAGGGCATTTGGAGGGTTTGTAAAGCAACCTGGGCATCTGCCAGGGATAAGGCAATAAATAGGGACTTGTGAAATCTGTGACTGGCTGGCTTAGTTTTCTCAGGAAGTTGTGCAAATAAGACAAAGGTGGGAGGAGGGAGACGGCATTCAGAGCTCACAGGACACTCCAGGAAGCAAGCCTATGCCTCTGTGAAGCCAGGGTGCTCCCAGCCCTGCAGGGCTCTCTGCGGAGCTGAATCCTTGGTCCAAGGCCAAAGGGGGCATTCTGTTTGTTGTGACCTGTGACATTCTAGCTGAGCTGTGTCCATGGGAATGTGTCAGGTACCATAGCCACATCAGAAGCCGCACCCTGAAACATTTGTTGGATATCTGCCACCTACAGACAGCATTCTATGAAGACCAAATGGCCTGGCTCGATGTGCAAAGTGGAGGCAGGAAGGAAGACCCTGAATTCTAGGCCAGCCTGGCTATACAGCAAAACTCTGTCTCAAAAATTTCAAAACAGCTAACAAGGAACAGTGAGAAAAATGGGAGGGGGCGGAAGAACATGGGCAGCAGAGCTGTGACTCGATATCTTCTGCACGGGACAGGGCGATGGCATCATGGTCTCACAGCAGCAGGGACTGCACACACAGGACCTGCAGGGGGCGGGGCCTGTCAACATTCCATCGTGGAGGAGAGGTGGGCTCATGAGCTCCACCCTCCCCAGGTAGCTAGGAGCAGATAATGGCCTCTGGGGGAAGGAGGCGATACATTTCTCAGTGGTGTAACTACTCAGCAAGTTGTCTTGCTCAGGCAAATCACCCCTCTTCACGATCATGCTAATAAGACATACAGCAAATAAGTGCAGTGGGTCACACAAGAAGAAATCAAAGTTAGGGGGGGATACTGAGAAAAAGGGGGTCGATGGGAGGAGGGTGAAATCGGGTGTGTTGTAATTAAAGTATAATGTGTGTGTTTATAAATACATAAACAAAATTGTGAAAAACAAAAATTAAAAAACTCAGTGTGGTAGTGCATGTTCGTCATTCCAGGAATCAGAGACAGGAGGGTCAGGTATTCTAGGCTGTAAGAGGCCCTGTCTCAAAACAAAACAAAACACCCAGAACAAAACAAAGAAACAAAACCAAACAACAAAGAAAGAAAGAAAGAAAGAAAGAAAGAAAGAAAGAAAGAAAGAACAAAAGAAAGAAAGAAAGAAAGAACAAAAGAAAGAAAGAAAGAAAGAAAGAAAGAAAGAAAGAAAGAAAGAAGGAAGGAAGGAAGGAAGGAAAGAAAGAAAGGAAGGAAGGGAGAGAGAGAGAGAGAGAGAGAGAGAGAGAGAGAGAGAGAGAGAGAGAGGAAGGAAGGGAAGCCCAACAGTAGCCTTTGCTGGGAGAAGGGAACTTGGGGCCTCTGCGCTGTCCCGGGTGTCTCAACACACTTGCCCAGTATCTTGGTGGGAAAGGATGCAGCAAAGCTTCCCTTGTCAGTAAGAACCATCAGCAGCTGTTCTGTCAGCCAATGAAGCAAAAGGTGGGATGAGCTGTGAACTCTGACGGCCCAAGCTCTTGAGCAGAGGTCCCAGCCACAAGCAGTTCCCAGGCAGCACAGCCCACTATCCCTCCTCTGCCGGGAGCCAGAGAAGCCACTCAAGCCTGCTCTGCCACTTACAGTTCAGACACCTCCGCCCACTTACAGTTCAGACACCTCCGCCCACTTACAGTTCAGACACCTCCGCCCGCTCCTCTGCTCTCTTCAGCTCACTCTCCAGGATGACCAACTTCCGAGCAACCTATGAAGACAGAAGACCCAACTGCGACCCATCCCACTACCACCCATCCCTACAGATGCCGGTCCCTCCAAATCTGAGCTCTGGAGCCTGGAAGAGATGGGACATCTCAGGTCCCATAGTGAGGCAGGGGAAGAAAAGGTAGAGCTAAGTCACTTAGCCACAGAGGGACGACGTACAAGAGTCCTCTGTGGTGATGACACCTGTTCTCCTTCTGTTTGGAGGGCCCAGTCTCACAACCAGATCAGAACTAGGCATGGTGACCTATAATCCCAGCATTTGGGAGGCAGAGGCAGGAGAATTAGGAATTAAAGGTTACCCCAGGCCATCTAAAAAGGAGTTGGAAGCCACCCTGAGATATCTTGGACACTTTCTTTAAAAACAAAATTCTGCCAGCTTGTTTGTGTCTGTAATCCCAGCACTTTGGAGATGGAGGCAAGAGGCAGGAGTCAAGACCATCCTTGCATTATTTTCTACATAGGGAGGAGAACAGCCTAGACTACAGGAGAACCTTTCTCAGGAAAACTAAAAACAAAACAGAAATATATTGGAAAACCAAAAACAAGAGAGCCAGGCATAGTAGTTCATACCTATAATTCTAGCATTTGGAAAGCTGAGGCAGTGGACAGTCAAGAGTTCATGGTTAGCCTGGGGCAACAGGAATTCCAGGCCTGTCTGAGCTAGTAGGAGATTCTATGTCTGTGAAGATTTTAAACAAACAAACAAACAAACAAACAGAACAGCAGAGTCAGGCTGGCAACCATGACCCTCAGCTTATTCCAGTTCCAACTTGTCTACATCCAGCTTAAGGGACAAGTGGAGTGAGCTGGTCTCCAGCAGCTCAGACACATGGCCACGGTACTTTTGTTTGGTACCCAACAAGACAGTTTTCCAGCGGTGTCTGAAAATAGATGTTGCTACAATGGCAATCTTCTTTTTTTTTTTCGAGACAGGGTTTCTCTGTGTAGCCCTGGCTGTCCTGGAACTCACTCTGTAGACCAGGCTGGCCTTGAACTTAGAAATCCGCCTGCTTCTGCCTCCCAAGTGCTGGGATTAAAGGCGCGCACCACCACTGCCCGGCTAGGCAATCTTCTTGAATGTGGGCTTCTGATGGATTCCTATGGGCAGCACCGCTTCCTCCCACTTCCTGCGGCTCCCATAGGCCCAACTCACCTCCTCGTACTTTCGGTCAGCCTCGTCGGAGATGTGCTTGGCTTCTTTGAGCTGCATCTCCAGGATCTCCATCTTTTCCTCATCTTTCATGGCTCGGTTCTCTATCACCTTCATGCCTCTGCAAGTGAGGGAGGGTGGGGCATCACATCAAGGTGTTCAAATGCATCCACCCAGCACCCAGCACCCAGGCAAGGATAAAGACCTATGGTCAGCTTCTATATTCATTTCATTGAGGAGCCATCTGGATGCTGAGAACCGAACCCAGGTCCTCTGCAAGAAAGCAAGTGTTAACTTTGGAGCCTTCTCTCTAGCCTGTGGTGACAGGTCTCTCACTGAACCTGGAGCTTGCTGTTCCCCATAGACTGGCTAGTCACAGAGCCCCAGGGACCCTTTGGTCTCAGCCTCTCCTCGATGGGATTGGAGGCCCCCTGTCATGCATAGCTTTTACGTGAAGGTGGGAATACTACCTCAGGTTCTCAGGCTCCTGTAGCAAGAACTTAACCCAGAGAGCAATCTCCTCAGCCTCAGATGGTCTCAAATAGCCCAGGCTGATCTCAAACTCACTATGCAGTCAAGGATAGCTTTCAATTCCTGATCCTCCTGCCTCTTCCCCCTCAGTGCTGGGGCGATGGGCTTATGTGGTATTGAGAATTGAACCAAAACTCGTAGATGCCAGGCAAGCATTCTTATCAATGGAGCTTCAATCCTACCCGCCCCCACAACCCCTTGTTAGATCTTAGAAGACAGGATTTTGTTACTTAGCCCAGGCTACTGTACCTCCTTCAGCATTCAGGAGCACTAGAATGATAGGCGTGCACCACCACCATGACTAGCGGACGCTAGTAAACACCCCAGCTCTCACAATCACCGAATGTTGTGGGGCTACTACCAGGTTACAAATAAAGAAACTGAGGCAGAGAAAGGCTAAGGTTATAGAGTTGCTAAGTCTCAGAGCTGGCTGGCCCGTAGGGGTGCACCCCTGCTTTGTATTCCTCACAGTAAGACAAGCCTGAGGCTCAGCAGTCACTGTGGAATGTGCAGCCACACCCACGGGGGATGCTGAGGAACAGGTATAGGAGCTGACGGAGAGCAGAGACTTTTCCAGAGCTTAGTTGAGACAGGGAGAGAACTGGAGGAGCCTGGAAGATGAACGCTCTGTCTGTCATCTCAGCACTGGAGAGACTGAGACAGGCCTTTGAGACCAGAAGCAGGGCAACACAAGAGGATCTTGTCTCAATATTAACAACAACAAGAAAGGAAACAGTCAAGGGGCTGGAGAGATGGCTCAGCGGTTAAGAGCACTGACTGCTCTTCCAGAGGTCCTGAGTTCAAATCCCAGCAACCACATGGTGGCTCACAACCATCCGTAATGAGATTGGATGCCCTCTTCTGGTGTGTCCGAAGACAGCAACAGTGTACTAATAAAATAAATAAATAAATAAATCTTTAAAAAAAAAAAAAAAAAAAAGAAAGGAAACAGTCAAGTCAGAGCTGCACTGTGTGGAGAACACACCTTTAGTCCCGGCTCTCAAGGGTCATAAAGTGAGACTTTGTATTAAAATACAGAAACAAAGGAAAAAAATACCTCTCTGGACCAACCAACCAGCCGAAAAAACACACAGGAGTGAAAGAACACACAGACAGGATGGGCGGGCTGTTTATGTTGAGGGGAAAGGGAATTACTGGAAGCTTCCAGAGCCAGGACTGAATGGAAACAAAACGGACAAGCCGGAGTGAAAAAGCTACAGGAAAGGCAGGCACGGTCTGGGCAGCACAAAATGCTCCAAAATGAAGTAGGTTTTATCTTTTGGTTTTATTACTGGGGTGAAAGGCATGCACCACCATGCCTGGCTTTCAAAACAAACCTTTTTGTTACCCAGTGCTATGTGAGTCTGAAGTGAGAATTATACCACTAAGGCCCACCCACAACCTGAACCTGTGACCACAGTCACAGTACAGATAGAGAATTCCTTATGTGGCAGGCCACTGTTCAAAGAAGGACACACTAGAAACACACGGAATGTCCCTCAGGACCCGTGTTCAAGGAATGTACTATGCATACTATGCATTTAGTCTCTGATCCCACCTTTAAGATAGCTCATTACACATCATTACACATATGCAAATATCCCCAAATCCAGAGACGCCCAAACTCCTAAGTACTGCCCCAAGCATTTCAGAGAGGGACACCTATGTTCACCCAGGTCAGAAAGAAGGATGTCCTCAGGCAGCCAGAAGAGCTCAGCGGCCTCACAGCAAAGCCTGCCCTGGCAGAGCTATATGGATCAGAATAGACGAGGTAATGGGCACCAGAGCCACGGCTGTGGGTCAAGTGACCCCCTGCACAGTGTCCCCAAGACACAAAGATAGAAGCTAGGCATGAGGCTGGTGACACATGTTATTAAAAGTGTGGAATATGACAAAACACCCGACTTATTTATTATTATTATAACTTTACATGTATGTATTTGTGCATGAGTGCACGTGCCCCAGCACACTCTGTGGAGGCTGGAGCACTCCTGCAGGGCTGGCTCTCTCCTCCTCCAGTGTGGGTCCCAGTGGAGGGTGGAGCACTCCTGCAGGGATGACTCTTCCTCCAGTGTGGGTCCCAGTGGAGGGTAGAGCACTCCTGCAGGGATGACTCTTCCTCCAGTGTGGGTCCCAGTAGAGGGTGGAGCACTCCTGAAGGGCTGGCTCTCTCCTCCAGTGTGGGTCCCAGTAGAGGGTGGAGCACTCCTGAAGGGCTGGCTCTCTCCTCCAGTTTGGGTCCCAGGCACTCAGACTGCACTCAGGCCTGCAAGCAGTGCCTTTACTCACTGAGCAATCGCACTGGCCACTGTTTTTATTTTTTAGTATTTTTATTATTTCTAATTACATATGTGTGTGTATGTGTGTTTGAGTGTAGGTGCCCACAGAGGTCAGAGGTATTCTTATTCCCTGGAGCTGAAGTTATGGGCTGCTGTGAGCTGCCCAACATGGGTACTGTGTGTGTTTAAGTGTACACATGCCATGGCACAGATGTGAAGTCAGAAGACAACTTGCAGGAGTTGGTTCTCTCCTTCTATCATGTGGAACTCAGGGATTGAACTCAGGTCAGGAAACTTGGTTGCAAGCGCCTTTTCTTGCTGGACCATCTCCACAGCCCAACTAAATTGCTTCTAGTGCATAGCATAGAGCCAGGGTCCTATATTTGCTATAGGACCGATCTCTCTCCCCCCCCCCCCCCAATGCAGGTACTTGCTGTTGAGCCACATCCCAGCCCCTACTTGTTGTCTAGTGCCTGGTTTATAGTCACAGCAGCACAATCTGAAACCAGTTCCAGGGAGGAGCCTGCCCTGGGGAACCCTCAGTGCTGGGCTGGCCACACTGTCTGTGACTGGAGCTTCTGCAGCCACACAGTTTTCCCTCAGCCCCCCAAGCCAAGACATGCTAGACCCACTCATTCCTGGGGACAGCTGGCTAGAGCTCCCCACGGAAGCCCAAGTGCTGCACAGACATCACCAGAGCAGCAGTCAGCTGTAAACACAGCGATGGTTGGTTATACATTGTCCCCAAAATACAGCTGGCATCATCCAAAGCTTAAAGCTTGCCACAGCACTGGGAACTGCCATGCAGGCACATGCAGAGTTCATTCTGCGTCTGCCACGCCTGCCCAGTCAAGTCTACCTTTACTTCCTCTTTTCTTCACATCATCTAGAAACTCGATTGTCTCTAGATGGGCAAGAGATGCACCGCCGGGGCTTCCCCAGGAAGCAACAACACACCCCGAAGCCCTAGTCCCACGCCTGCACATTTTTGCTTTTCTCTGTCTGCTGGAAAGTTTCCTCCTAGGCTGTCATAAAGAAAACCAAGCAGGGTGCATGGTGAAGCATCTGTCATCCCAGCATTACATAGCTAGACCCTGCCTCAAACAAAAGTGAACAGAAAAGGGAAATGGATTAAAACCAAACATCTTCAAATCCCTTCAGCTCCAGGGTCATTAGTACCATCACAATTCCCCCCATCCATTCATGTCTATGTGCATCCGTGTACGCGCATCTATGTGCATCGTGTACACGCATCCGTGTATGTGGATCCATGTACGCGCATCCATGTATGTGTATCCGTGTACGCACATCTGTCTATGTGCATCCGTGTACGTGCATCCGTGTATGTGGATCCGTGTACGCGCATCTGTCTATGTGGATCCGTGTACGCGCATCTGTCTATGTGCATCCGTGTACGCGCATCTGTCTATGTGCATCCGTGTGCGTGCATTTGTGTATGTGCATCCGTGTATGTGGATCCGTGTACGTGTGGATCTGTGTACATGTATCCGTGTATGTGGATCCGTGTACATGTATCCGTGTACGTGCATCTGTGTATGTGGATCCGTGTACATGTATCCGTGTACGTGCATCTGTGTATGTGGATCCGTGTATGTGGATCCGTGTACATGCATCCGTGTAGATGCATCTGTGTACATGCATCTGTCTATGTTCATCCGTGTATGTGTGGATCTGTGTACATGTATCCATGTACGTGCATCTGTGTACATG